GGGGTTTTTTTTAATTACATCTTTTAAAGAAATTTAAAATGCTCAAAAACTTTCAAATCCTCAATTTCTTAAGTTGCTCAAATGTAAGATAGAGTGTATCTGATAAAAGAGCCAGTACTAAAAACTCATATTTTAAATTCAACAATTCTATTTTCAGTACAATATATTACCATCATCCCTCTCACTAAACAAATCAATACAAAAATCTTGATTTCTTTTCATAAACATCTTAACATGTTTATAGTACTTTACAGATTATTACATGTGTTATTTTCAATTATCTGTGCAGTAGTAGAAATTAAAATTGTTTGCCAGATGAGAAAATGATCTCTGGTTAAGCTTGCCTTTGTCAAAAGACTCAGTCAAAAGGATTGATGTCTGGGTTTCATAACCAAATAGTCCCATAATAGTTATCACTCCACTACAATTTGATAACCCTTTGAAATATTTCTTGTTCAGTAGTCACTAGTAATTTATGGAGTTCAACTTTCTTAAACCTCCCTGTGGTTGAATTACCACTTTTACTTGAAAGGCCCTAGAAGTTACAGAAATGTTTTATTTTCTAGTGTATGTCAAAAGAAATTTCGTACTACTATAAAATTCCTATTCTTGTTGCTCAGACAAATAAATGATTATTTTTCAGATGATGCATAGATCCTGTCATAAAGGGGTAGTGGAAAACTTGGGAAGGAATAGAATAGCTTTAGATTATTCCAAAAATGAAAACTGTTTTTTGGTGGGTTTGTTTGTTTGCTTTTGCCAGTTCAAGGTTACATCGGCCTCATCTTAGTAATTAGCATACTCCAGATGTTTTGGAATAGTTTTTTTAGAAAGTCTAGATTTTTATTTTTTACATTTTGCAACTCTTCTCATATTGAAACACGAATGTCCTGCTCGATTTTTTTTACCTATTTATGATTAAAGTATCCCCCAAATTGTAAATTAGAATATTTCCAATTAATATGAACAATGTTTGTTCTAAGCATGGAGGGCAGGTCACTGTACTATGCAGTGTTGTAGAACAGGGAGTGACCTGTTTCTAATTCCTTTGGTCAGGGCTTCATTATTTTAATTAAAAGATTCTAGTACTTCCTGTGTCTTCCAGGATTTGATTTTGAAACACAGAATTGTGAATCTGTTTAATACTGTTAACTTATGGAATATTATATTTTGATGTAATTCTATGACTACTTCGTGTAATGAATATATGTTNAAATATACTTACCTCACACAACTTAGAATCTGAAAACAATTTTTAAATCGATATTCTTACATATTTTTTAGTTTATAATACACTCAGTTTTTAGTGTCATTTTGGGTCTTCCAGAAGCAAATGCCAAGATGTGGTTAAATATGCAAAAGATTTATGGGGGCGGGCATCTATGAGGGATAAAGGGAAGGGAGCACAAGGTGTGGAAGTCTTCATACCACAGAGCAAGTCATAGCTGTGAAACAAATGGGAGGATCAGGTCAGACGGGCTTCAGACTGCAGTGCAGTTCTGAAAAAGTTTGATTGTTCCCAAGCAAAGGTTCCCTGTAGGAGCCCACATGGGACAGGAATTTCCACCATGCTCAGTTATTGGTTGGAAGCATGGGAAAAGCTGGAGGCTGTCAGTCACTCTGATACCCATGACCAGGATTAGGGTGATGTGAAGACCTCAACTTGGGTACAAAAATTTTTTGACCAAAAGACTCAGTAAAGTAATATTAGAACCAGAATGCAAAAAAAAAACCCCAAAACCTATGATGAGCAAAATATCAAAATCTGAAATAAAGATAGCACTGTTTTACTGACTTCGTGTTGCCCCAGGCTCCACAAGACACTGCTGATTCACCGCCTCTTGAGGGCGGGTATCATTTTTCATAGACCATTGCTTTTATCCAAAAATCTGTCTTCTCTAGGCTTAGGTATTTGAAGTTCCTCTATAGTTCATTTTTCAGTATGAGAAATGTGTGCTGCATATTTAGAGAAGTCTTCGTTTAAGTTTATAGTAAAATACCCACCCATTGACCCACTAACAGCTTACATAAAGAAGCAAAATGTAAGAATATTACATACTTTTACATATAAAATACATGTACATATTGCACACTATATAATTATGACATTACTAGCTAGCATGTTCGTTAATGTTGGGGGCCATGTGTCAACCTTTCCCGCCTGACACAGTAGGTACTTAAAGGTTTATTCAAAAATGAATATACGGCTGGCCAAGTGGCTCAGTTGGTTAAGAGCTCACTCAAGAGTGTGAACTCTGAGCAAACGGCTTTTCCAGTAACAGCAGGAGCTGAGCTGCCAACAGGTGGCAGTATGGCTCAGCTAAAAAAAAAATGAAAGTAAAGAGGCATTGATCAGGAAAAATAGCTGTTCCTTTAGTTAATTTCAATTTGCCAAGACATTCACAAACGTCTTCCCTTTCCTGTATTGTTCCTTTAGCTCTCCCCAATTTTGGCCCAAGGGTCCCGTGTCCCCAAGTTGGGCTGCATCCACACCCAGCCAACTTCGAGGCCTGGCTGTAAAAATCACTGGGCACAGGGAATCTAGAACCTGCCCTCCAGCCACTCCAGGGAACAAATTAGCAATTTCCGCCAGGGAGCCCAGAACGTCATCATCCACAGGCGTTTCCTCTGAGCGCTCAGATCTCCGGAAAACCGGGGAGCCGTCCTGTCTCCCACGGGAGAAACCAGCCGCCAAAGAGCGAACGCGAGAAACAGCGACGCTGCGGAGCCTGGACCCGCCGCAGTGCCACCGAGGGCCTGCGGGGGGCGCACACGGCCCGACCCCGAGGGGGCGGGGGAGCACGGGCGGGGGCGGTGAACTCGGAGTTGGGCACTTCCTGTTCCGGCGCCAGGAGGAGTCGCGCGCTGCTGGTGTTGCTGCTACCGCCTCTGTTACCACCTTCGCCGCTGCTGTCAGTCAGGCTGCCTCGGTTCTTCAGCGCCCGGTTCCCTCGGACCCATCGCCGCTTCTAGACCTTGTTGCGGGCTCGGATCTTGCCGGGTGAGGCTTCTAAGGCGGTAATAAGGGTCGTGGGGATGGGCGAGGGAGCGCGCCCGAGCGGGGGGCGGCCGCAGTAACGGAGGCTCCTCGAGTCGCTCTTCGGGGGCCGGGGCTAAGCGTTTTTCGCGTCATCTTCCTCCGGGCTGTGGACTGTCCCCTGATCGCCCCCCAGGGAGAAGGCGTCAGCGCTGGTGACGTCGCTCCCCACGGGTTTCTCCGCGACTGACGTCAGGCGTGGCTGGGCGGCTGGGCGGGGAGCGGGCCCGGCCCTTCCCCCACCGCTTCCCGAGCGAGAGCGACCCGCTCGGCGGCTGGTTCGCTCCGGTTGGTCCCGGAATTCCCTTTGTTGCTTTTGGCCCTAAAAGGCTTTCAGATCGCGCGCCCCTCGATCCCGACCTCTCCCATTCATTAATTTCTAATAAAAGGGAAGAGCTAGGCCCGAAGAGATTCTTAGAGAAATCTTTGACCCTTGTTTAAGATCATCCGCAGTGTGACAACGTTCTGATCATTCCTGCAGTTACTAGCAAATACGTTACATGAAAACCCATGATAGAAACGATTGGGTTCTGTAATATTTTGTGTTTTTTTAGATTTTAGGAGCGCATGTTATGCATGGTAGCTTATAAATAGCTGAACCCATTTTCTCTTTGAAAACCAAGAGTTGTGCTTTTAATAAAGATTCAAATCTTGAAGCATCGAATCATAGTCACCTGACTGGGAAAAAATTTTTTTAGCGTTACTGCTAAAGAAATACTCGTGCACCTGGTGGTTTTCAAGGCCTGTCTTTGAAAACGAACCCTCATCGCAGGCGAAGGTAGCCTTCAGAAATCTTTCAGAAGTTCTTTGTTCAGTAGTGTTTACTGGGCAGGAAAAAATGTTTTCTTGCTGCTGGTGTCTTTGAACCACTTCTTCAAAGCGAGTTTGTCTCAAACTTGAATTGAGTTGCAGATATTGGCATGTTCTTTTCCTCTCTCCGGGAGGAATGGCGAGTCTTCTCTTAACCAAAATCCTTGGCGCCCGTGTGTTTTGGAATCCAGAAATCTTTGAGTTGTATGTTTAGATTTTAGAAAGACGATAAAGCGCATAGACAGATAACACCCCTAGCAGTGTGGGGGCAGCATCCCCTAATCCAACATTAATATTTGTGCAGCAATATGTGTGAATTATTGGGAACTATAAATAGCCTTAGATCAGGTTTTGCCACCAAGTAAGTTTTATGCCAAACTTCAGAACGCTTCCTTGATTTTCAGAAGTTTCTGAGTTGAGAACTGCAGATAAAGGTTTGTGAACGGATAATAGCAATTGTACAAGCTAGCATTTGTTGAGTTTTTGCTATGTGCCAGGCAGTGACCAAGAGATTTGTTTATAATGTAAGCCTCACAGCAAATCTGTGAGGTGGAATACGATTCCTGTGTACCTTTAACGTTTGGAGAGTTCACTTGTCCAGAGCCAGCCAGTGAAGAACTGCAGCTTGATCTAGTGAGCCATACTTTCGTGTTCACTCTCAATCATATGCTATATACTCATACACAAAGGAAGGTAAGAATGCTCTGTTGCCCACCCACTATATTCCAAGCACTATTATTATAGGTACTTGATTTACAAGTCCCATTTAGTCTCTCACATTACTAGCCTGATCATTCAAGTGAGCTGACTCTTAAGAAATTCAAATCTTGGTCTAAAGGCTCTCTGCTAAGGCTTTCATATCACTCCCCTTTCTATATTCCAGCCAATCTGTCCTGCCTACACTACCGTTTAGAGCTGCTCTCACCTCCCTTTCAGCTTTTGTAAAAACGGTTCTCCTTTTACCTAAGGCCTAGCCCACTGTCCCCTACTCCCAGCCCTTTCCTCATTGTTC